CTTACATTGAAAACCCGTAAATGGCGATTTAAGTTCAAAAAAAATTAAAAAAAAAAAGAGCTCAAATTGAAAATCCATAAAAAATGGTTTGAGTTAAAAAAATTAAAAAAAAAAAAAAGCTCAAATTGAAAACCCACAAAGGGTAATTGGAGTCAGAAAAGGATGTCTAAGTTGAAAGCCCGAAAATGTAGCATAAAGGTTCAAGATATTATTTTCATAATGCAAGAGGCAAGTGTGATTTAATGAACTTGAAAAGATTAAAGACTTCAGTTGGATGGTTTTTGAGAAGAATTTTAAGTTACTTTGATCATGATTATTTGATAGCCCACTTTCGCTCATCTTTGTAACCCAGTCCCATTCAATCAATAAAATCCATTTCTTTGCTGATGTCAACATTAACCTCTTTTATTTTTCTCATTCATTTTCTTTTTTTTGTCTGCCCCTTTACATGGGTCAAAAAAATGTGTAATTGCTTTACATCTGTCATTTTATTGAATCGATAATGAATGAATAAATAATGATATGAAAATTCTTTTTATTACTCTAGAAAGCTAAGAATAGCATGGGCAAGTGAAATGAACGCAATGGGAGCTTAATGGAATGTTGATCTTAGATTGACTGAAACTAAAAGACAATGATAGTTTGATTCTTTAACCAAATGTGTTCAAAAGTTGAAGGATCCATAATGGGCAAGAAAATGAAAATAGAAAAGAGCTTGAGAATCTTTTTACCATAATCAGATAAGCCCGACATCTCATAACATTTCATGTATTCTAGGAAAATTGGCATTTAATAACATTTCGTGTATGCATGTCATGAGATTTGCTTTTACAAGAAGGTGGTTGACATCACAAATTATTGAAGTTGTCAAGAATGGGGCGGTAATCATTTCGATTTTTTTTTTATGTATTACGACTTAGTCTAAGTTACTTATTTCAAACTTTAGTTCAGTCCAAGTCATTTTGTTTTGGATTTTGGCTTACGCCAAATCCTTCTTCGACTTAGTTCAAGTTATTTTTTTCAGACTTTGATTCAATCCAAGTCATTTTATTTTAGATCTCAGCCTATGCTAGATCATTTTTTAGTTATTTTAGACTTCGATTTTGTCCAGGTCATTTTATTTTGGATTTTGACTTTGTCAAGTCCTTCTTTAGCTTAGTCTAAGTTATTCATTTTAGACTTCGGCTCCATCTAGGTCATCTTGTTTTGGATTTCGGCCTATGCCATATCCTTCTTTGATTCAGTCCAAGTTATTTATTTCAAACTTTTGTTCCATCCAAGTCATTTTGTTTTGGATCTCGATCTATGCTAGATCCTTCTTTGATTTAGGCCAAGTTACTTATTTTTAGACTTCGATTCTATCTAAGTCATTTTGTGTTAAATTTTGGCCTATGCCAGATACTTCTTTGATTTAGTTCAAGTTACTTATTTCTAGACTTCGGTTCCATCCAAGTCATTTTATTTTGAATTTTGACCTATGCCAGATCCTTATTTGATTTAGTCCAAGTTACTTGTTTTTAGACTTCGTTTCCATCCAATTCATTTTATTTGGGCTTTCGACCTATGCCAGATTCTTCTTTGATCTGGTCCAAGTTGTTTATTTTAAACTTCAATTCAATCCAGGTCATTACGTTTCTGGATTTTGGCCTGTGCCAAATCCTTCTTTGACTTAGTTCGAGTCGTTCATCTTGAATTTTGGTCCAATCCAAATTCTCCTTGGACTTTCTATTAGTCCAACTTGTTCTTTTCCTCGAATAAGATCGTGATTGGTGTTTACATCTTTGCATAATCTCTACTTCATAAAAAATATGCAAAGAGAGACAACTGTAGACACCCATTTTTCCTTTTTTCTTTTGAATCAAGTTTTTTAATGAATTGATAAAAGCGGAGTTTTAATCCTATTACAACTCTAGGATAAAGGAATTTCAATTTTGAAATTGGGATAAAAAAAGGTTTTTTTTTTTTAAAAAGGGATAATGGATGAGAGGATAAGAGGATTCTAATTTTTGAATCCTCGAATAGCCCTATATAAACTCTCAGTGATCATAGAAGACACACAAACAGATAGGAGAGGCCAAAGAAGAGGCAATCAAAATCAAAAATAAAAATTTGAAGAGGCTATTGTTTACAGTAGAAGTTTCTAAGATTTTTCCATTGATTGGAGAATTAGATTTTTTTTTGGGAATTTTTTTTGTATTTTTTGCAAAATTTCTATAAATTCCAAAGTTCGTTGAATTTTTCGATGAAAATTCAAGTTTTTCGGTGACTTTTCTGACAAAAAATCCAACTTCGGATAATAAAACCTAGAAATCGATGAGAATTTCATCGACATTCTTTGCATCTAAAGAGAGACTCAAAGAAAATTGAAGAGAAGAAAGAGAAATGGGAAAGAGCATCTGAGGATAAAAAGATTTCTTTGCCTTTTATACCACCCTAAAATAATGTCGTTTTGAGCTAAGAACCCAATAGGATATCGTGCTTTTCCATCTGTCCAACCTGACCTGCAGTGCCTCGACCCACTTACCTGTATCACTTAACCCCTGTTGAGCTATCAAGCTGAGCCACTCACCAAGCCACACCCATTCCAATCGAGCAAAACTGTATCAAAGTTTTTTTTTTCTTTTTTTATCTATTTATTATTATTATTATTATTATTATTATTATTATTATTATTATTATTATTATTATTGTTATTGTTATTATTGTTGTTGTTGTTGTTGTTATTGTTGTAGTTTTATTTATTGATTAAATTGGAATTATTTATTTATTTAAGTAAGCATTTTTTAATTTTTCAATGATTTTCTTAAAATAAAAATTTCAAAAAAAAGTATTTTTGAGGAAAAGTTAAAAGTATCAATTTTTCTTGAAAATAAATATTTCAAAAAAGGGATTTTTGAGGAAAAGTTGAAAATATCAATTTTCCTTGAAAAAAAAATTTTCAAAAAGGGCATTTTTAAGGAAAAATTAAAAGTATCAATTTTCCTTGCATAAAGGCATGAATTTTTTTTAAAGTAAAAAAATAATAATAAAAGAGATCCCCATGAAAGGTTAAATATTATTCCTTTTTCTTTTCTTGGAAATTTTTAATGTTAAATAATCCAACAACGGAGTCTCTATAAGAGAATAGTAGTTTTCTTGTATACTTTTCAGGTGAGGGAACTTTCCTAATTTTTTGCCAAAAGTATTAGAGTCAATTAAGAATAATTTTCAATAATTAATTACTTGGTAAAATTTTTAAGGCTTAATGGATAACATGAAATTAAGCTGGTACCATCTTTCGATAGATGTATGGGGGTGCTATAATCTTTCTCACATTTAACCGTACTTCTAGACCTAGTTTTGGTTTCGTAGATATCGAATCCACCTTTCAAAGATACTTAAGTCAAACTTAAGATTTTTCTTTAAAAAAGGATAGATTCAATCACGTGGCCAATCACATCTAAATAAAAAAGATTGATAATGACTTCTTAAGTCAATGTCTAGCGATAAGCCCACGGATCTAGACGTCATGACAAATATCTCATCGAATCACATCACATGCATGTTAACATCAATAATTATTTATATGAAAACAAAAGTAATAAAATGAAACATTTATGATTTACCACTTTTAATCAGGCACATGTGAAGGAAAAAATTATGTACAATTACCATATCCACTAGGGTAAAATTTATTTGTTAAAATAATTTAATAAAATTATAATAAAAATTCAAAATGATAGATTGATAAATTTTAATAAAAAATTAATAATATGTAAAAATAATAAAAATGTTACTCATAGTTTAAATTTGATCAATATTTATTTAATGATAAAAATCATGTCAAAATTTTCACTAAAAATACTTTTTTTAAAATATATTAAAATATATTAATTTTTTTAAAAAAAATTTATACATTTGATTTATGTAATAAGAACTTTTATTTTATCTATTTTGATTTTTGATTTTAATTTTATTTAATTGTTTTTAATAAAAAATTTTATCTAAAATCTTCATCTATGTGTTCTCTATCCCTTATATATATACATATATATATATATATATCTAAATTTGATAATTTTATTAATAATTTGATATTTTTAAATACATTACAATAATATAAATAAAGAAATATATGAAAGCGACGTAGCATTTCTTACTTCATGCCCTAACTCAAACCAAACTACTTTTGGGATGCTTAGCATCTTACTGAAACTGTCTATTTAGCTATAGCACGTCATTGCATCAATGACAGTACTGTTTGCTTCCTCTTAATTTAAAGCAGCTAGTTTATTAAGACGTGAAGATGCATACAATAATTCGATCACAGGATTATCAATTTTAATTTGGAAAATATATAGTTGCTAGATTTTAATGGTTAATTGTGAATTCTCTGGATGATAAACAAAATTTGAATTATTAAAAAAAAAGCACTACGTTGCACCATTATTAACTTCTTTTCATGGCCAAGTGACACCTTTGTTACTATTATTTTTTGGAATTATTAAATACTATTTGAGATAATCATGATTTTTACGTGGAAGATAGTAGGGTTCTCATCTCATTTTCAGCACGTTCACGGCCAACTCGTTTGCCAACTAATGCAATGTTTTTTTTTTTTACTTAAGTGATGCCTACGCAAATTGGATATTATATGTATTATAATGCTTAAAATGAACCAGTTAAAATACTCAAGTTGTTTATTACTTGGAAAGAGGTTTAATCTCATCCTTGAACAAGAAATGATATATCTTGATGAATAATTAATTATTATCAAGAGTCAAATATGATTGATAATCCGATTTGATTTCGTCACTAATTTAAAATAAGTTTCTATTGTGGGTTTTTTTTCTTTTGAAGGCAATAACTAATGAAGCTGCTGATTATAGAAGTGAAAATAGAAACAAAATTCGAATGAAACAATTACAAATTAATTATTAAATCTCATAAAAAATAAAAATAAAAATTCATGTGATACTCATGAAATTCTGCATGGTGTTGGTTGTACTTTCATTTCAGTTGTGTCATATTCTAGGCATACTTGGTCATTAAAAATATTTTCTCTGCTGAAGAAGAAAATGCAGGCTGGCTTGATTTGATTTCAGGTCAAAAGATTAAACCACAATCTATGCATTAATGGGAAAAAGCCTATGCATCACTGCGACTGATAATCAAAATTTTTTCCCACTCTTTTCTAGCTCAATTGGCCTTTGATGTTCCACTCTTCTATCTTTTTCTTACTCAAATAATATTTTCATTTGGAAAGATGAGGAGAAACTTGATTTCGTTGAACGTATTCTTAGTTGCTTTCCTTCATATCTTCTTGCTAATTCACAGTAAACCTCTTGTACCGGCTCTGTATGTATTCGGAGATTCATTGTTTGACAGTGGCAACAACAATCTTCTTCCAACTGTTGCCAAGGCAAATTACCCACCTTATGGCCAGAATTTTGTCGAACACTTCACCAGCAGGTTCACTAATGGAAGAACTCTTCCAGACTTTATAGGTATTGAAAATTTAGTAAGTTAAAATGAATTCTTCATGATTAAACTATTATCAATTACCATATGCTTCTAATTTTTATCCTTTTTTTTAATTGAAGCTGAATTCCTTGATCTGCCATACCCTCCACCATACCTGAGTATACATGAATCAGTAAAGCTAACAGGTTTGAATTATGCATCTTCAGCTTGTGGAATTCTCCCTGAGACTCGAAGCCGATTTGTAAGAGCTTCAACTTATTATACTGTTTTCATAGCATTGAAAATTGGCAATTTACCCACCAATTACTTATCATTTTTTTGGAGTAATTCATTGCACTATGAGAAAAAATGTATATATAATTTCATATTTCTACCCTCCAATTAAAATAAATTATTTTAATTAGAAAAAAATTTCTTCCTATTGCAGGGCAAATGCTTTAGTTTGGATGATCAAATTGATTTGTTTCGATGGACAATTGAGTCGAAAGTGCCTAGCCACTTTAAAAGCTCTAACGAGCGTTCTAACTACTTGGCAAAGTCTATATTTATATTAACAGTAGGCAGTAATGATTACATTCAAAACTATTTAGAACCACCATTATTGAGCAGAAGCCAAGATTATGATCGCCAAGATTATGATCCTCAAACATTTGCTCAGCTTCTCATGGATGCTCTCTCCAAGCATTTTGAGGTTCTCCACAAATCCCTTTTCAATTATATCTGCTTTTCCTTTTCTTCAGCCTGAGGTGTTGGAATTTGAATCTTAAATTTATTTGTTGCCCACCTATTGAGTTAAGCTTCAAATTTTTCATTTTTTTTATATACATGTTTTGTCAATAATATATTTCTTTTCATATTATTTCAATTGCAGAGACTATATAGATTAGGAGCTAGGAAGATAATAATGTTTGAAATCGCCCCGCTTGGATGCATCCCACATTACACAAGGAAATATGAACTCAAAGGAAAATGTCATCACGAAACAAACCAAATTGTCTCATATTTTAATAATATTTTTCATGCAACGCTGAAGAATTTAACATCTACTCTTCAGGGCTCCATGTTCATCCTTGCTCGAATAAATTCATTAGTTCACGATTCTATTACTAATCCTTCAAATATGGTAAGTTTTTAAAGTATTAGCAATTACCTTATACATTGTCAGGGATAAAGTTTTTAATCTCCACAAATAGTGTTAGAAAATTATCCCATGTTTCATCCGGTTAACTTTAAGAATATTAATAAATTAATTTAATAATTAAATGAACATAATACAAAATAATAATCCCGTTTTATGGAACTTATGGAACTTTGCTCAACTGTTAGCGTATATATAGTAATTGATTTTTTTTTCTAATTTTCTTAATTATAACTGTTTTTTAACATTGAGTTTTGCAGGCTATACTGATGCAAGCTATCCATGTTGCACAACTTGGGGAAATGGGACCTCATCATGCATCCCATGGCCGGTGCCATGTCCCACCCCAAATGAACATTTGTTCTGGGATGGTTACCATAATACAGAAATAGGGAATTCAATAGCGGCATCCCTTTGTTTCAACGATCCTGAATTTTGTACTCCTTTTAGTATCAGGGAGCTCATACAAATTTGAAGTTATGTGTAGGTGTTAGAAAATTAATAAGTTTAGGACTACCTACTTTAATATTAATCTGAATTGCCAAAAAAAAGAAAATTATCATACTTGTTTCAGGAATCTCCAATAATCTACTTATGGAACAGTTTATTGATCATTTTCGTCTATGAAACATTCATTAGAATTGTCCATAAATTTTTACAATTCAAGTCCTACGGTTTTAGATGGATAGAAGAGAGTTTAAAAAATTTTTTACTAGAGTAATTAAGATTAACTCATCTTATTAATTTCTGCCAATATATATGTTTATTTATATAGCACATATCTTAATATTTTTAATAGTGCTTATGCATAATTTTATTAGGAATAGAATTTTAATTCAACTCAAATTAGGGTTCGCTAATGCCTATAAGAATATGCTAATGAATTTGGATCCACTTAACCTTACCCATATTTCCAACATAAAGATTTAATTAAGACGGCACATATTTTACCATTCCAAAAGTCACCAAATAAAAAAATGCTCTGGTGCATAAAAAAAGATAATCAAATTTAAATGAATTGTTAGAGAAAGAAAGAAGAATGGGTTCGGCAAAGATCGGAGAAGCAATCGTCCAGTGGAATTCTGGAGTGTGCGTTCAGAGATTGAACAATGGAAAAGAAGACTTGTAATGGTCTTTGTTGACAATATTCATCCTGAGGGAAGAGAAGCAATTTTGTGGGATCATATCATGCAGCATGGGAAAATTATGGACTTCTACATTCCTCTAAAGAGAAGAAGGCCAAGGGGCAGCAAATTTGGATTTTTTTGCTTCAAGGATTTGCAAGAGGCACTGTCAGTCATCAGGGCAATGGATGGTTTTGTATGGAATGGCTGGAGTTTAAGGGCAAGTCTGGCCAAGTATGAAAAGGGTAGTTATGAAGGGTCTGCAAAGAATCTAACAAAAAGGAACGCCTTCCATAGACATCTTGTCATGCATGAGGGGATCAATGAGACTACAAACCTAACTTATGCAGAAGTGACAAGAAGAAATATTCCAATCCTGCATGCATCAAGGCCGTATGGAAATGGTAAAGCAGCAATTCTAGAGGCGGGTGGAAAACAACTTTCATTGCTGGGAGGCAAAAACCAGAGGCAAGAACGAATAGTGTTGGAAGAAGACGACTTAGAAATGGATTGATTGGAGAGGAGTGCAGTGCCGGAGGTGAAAAATCCTTAGGCTATTCGCATGCTACAACAACACATATTTAGTGAATGAGTCATGTAATTCTCAGTCACAGTTATGGGAGGAAGTATGTTTCCATTACTCTTAGAGTCAAAGGAAGAAATGCTTGGTATGTTAGAAGACGGGAGAACATGGCTTGAAGAATGGTTTTTCTGGATAAAACCATGAAGCCCTAACATAATCAGTCTTGATAAGTTCGTTTGGTTGAGACTGAAACACGTTCCTCTCCATGCATGCTGCTATGACTTTTTTAAGAAGGTTGGAGACAAATGGGGTAATTTCATTACGGTTGACGATAGTACAATGAGGAAGAGGCGTCTCGATATGGCTAGAGTTCTCTCCCTTGTCAAGAAAAATGTCTGCATACCAAATTCAACCCAAGTTATGGTAAAAGGAAAATCTTATGATATAAAGATCGCGTTGGAAGGTGGCTATGATTTCTTATGGAATGCGAGTGTTTACACTTCAACAAAATCAATAGCCACATAAGCAAAATTGCCACGTTAGAAAAATTATAATGCCACATCATCAAATTTAACAGAAAAAGTTTGAACCATTAGTAATTTGACTAAATTCGATAATTAAATGAAGTACAAAAATCTAATTTAAATACATTAAAATAGAAAGATTAATTTTACTATTTAACTAAAGTACAAATATCAGTTGCATAATTTGATTTATCATTTTCTATCCTAGGCAATTTACAAGTTGAAAATTTACTGTTAACATAGTAGAAAAAGTATGTTAATATGCAAAATGAAAGAAACCAACTTAATGATATTATTGAGAATTTGTATCTCTTTAAAGATAGACACAGAGGTTGAAAAGAAATAAAATTGTTTCAATCTTTCAAGTCATCTTTCCCTTCACATCATATTGATAACTTTGGTTTTAAATGTCTCTTGAAGTTATCATTTCAGAAATTGAAATTGACATAATATAGATAAATAAGAAAAAAAATACATAAAAACTGATAATAAGAGATAAAATAAGTAAAATTAAATTGTAAATTTTAACAATAAGAAAATTTTAATCTCATTACAATTTAATTTTCTTTAATATTTTTTTACTAATTTATTTACATATGACAGCTAAAATGAATTATTTAGATTTAGATTAATTGAATAAGGGTTGTCAAGCAATCATTCTTTGAACTTCAGTAAGCCAAACAACCCATATGAGAAAGTTAAGAAACCTCAAACATTTCAATTTGTTAGCTTTGAATTGATCCTTATTTTGAAATGACAAAATATTAAGCTAAATAAACTTGATTAAGATTTTTGAAAAAGATTTATTTAGTACATGTTCTTAAGTTTTATTATTTTGGTACTAAATAAATAATATGATTTTCAAAGTTTAAACAAACCTTTCTTTATGTGTTCTTATTTCTCAAATCAAAGGTATCTTTAAACATTATCTATTTGAGCTTAAATGAAAGTCCAATTGTTGTTTTTAAAATGAACTTATTCATTTTGGACTCAATACAATTTTGATAATATTGGTTTTGAGAAATTGATTAACTTAAGAAAGTTATTTTACAAGAACAAAGTTTTCTAACATTGAACTTGTTTTATTTCTCTATATTAATTCACAAAGCTTTAATTTTTTAATTTTATATGGTTGGAAAGCTCTTTGAGTCTACTTTCTAATGGATCAAACAAAATCAAAATTTAAATTTTCTAAAAAAAGATTTTGAATTTTTACTAGATATTTTATAATTGTCTAAAAACTACACAAGAGGTAGATTTGAAAATTTACTATGATTCATACACAATGAATTAGGTGATGGATTTTATATAGATAGAAAGCTCATTAAGTATATTTTCTAAATCTTCAAATGGATTTTTATTTAGATTTATATAACAAACGGTTTTTGAATTAGATTTATATAACTCATAATATGATCAAATTAGTGAGTAAAGTGCAAAATAGGAAACAACCATCCAGCTTTGATAGGATCGATTCTTTCAGGAAAGGAATTGATTGATTTTTTACTCGTAATGCATCTTTGTGCTTCAGGTTAAAGAAGGGATTGATTAGGTGGTGCATTTTCAAGGCATAAATTGGCTTCCAAAAGTGAACCAATTAATCCCCTTATGGAAAGGATCGATCAGGTAGGCCTTGAAACAACTCCAACAGCTAGTTTATCAAGCTTCAACTGGTATATTCTTCTCCCATGCATTCCCAATGGCTATTTCCTCAATTTCTCTATAAATTAGGCACTTCAACACACCAAGAAGATTGATGAATCAAGAGAGTAAGAACTAACAAGTTATATTTTTATTTTCTCAAAGAATCAATAGTTGTTAAAGTTTAAAATCCATAACTTTTGTATTTATTGTATCCAAGCTATATTGTTGTTCATTCATCAAATTTTTTGGTACTTTATTTGGCAAACACTTAACCTTTGAAAGGAGTTCTAAGTTTGTATTTTTTATTAAGTAATTTTGTAATCAAGAGATAAGGCATCCTATTGAATTTGTTGGATTGTGAGGTTGCTACTTAGCCTAGAAAATAAAGAGTGTAAGGTTTCTATCTTAAGCCTCAAAGAGAAAATGATAGGGTTATATTTTCAATTCAAGATTAGTGGATTGAAGCCTTAGTGTGGACAACCAAAAAGAGAAGACGTAGGTGCCTTGTGGAGAAAGACTGAACCTCTATAAATCATTATGTTTGATTTCTCTATCCCTATGTCCTTACATTTATTGTTGTTTATATTAGATTCTAGGTTTATTAATTGTTATTACTTGCATTATATTTTCATCAAAGTGCTTATTGTTTTAATTCTTCATTCAATTATTTTGAAATCATTGTTTGAGAAGAACTTAGAGAAATTCAATTCACCCTCCCTCTTGGATTACCATCTCACCTAAAAAACTAACAGCTGGTCTCAGAGCGAGATTGCAAGTTCGAGTCCCCTAGGCATCGCTAGGGTTAGATTGTTGGATTATAAGGTCAAGTGATCTCCCTTAAGGACTCGGTATGTCAGTTTATCTAGGTGAGGTATCTCATGGTGGATCGGATTTCGATGTACCACTTATCATGGGCTGAGACTCAACCTCTAGGTCCATGACAATGGTATCGAGCTAGCTCTTGAAGTACTAGCAATGTACCACCAAGGATGATAGGCCTTCATTGAAGTGGGAGAGGATGTCACCGAACTAAGGAAGAGTCCTAAATCCTACATCGACTGTGTACTAGAGTTGGTTATGAGATATAAGGGTTCACACCATCACCTCCTTGTGAGGTGTCTTTTGTGAAACCGTAAACTAAATATGTATTTAAATTTTTTTTGAATTATTAAATACTATTTAAGATGATCATGATTGTAACGTGGAAGATTGTAGGATTCTCATCTCATTTTCAGCACGTTCATGGCCAAATCGATTGCCAACTAATGCAAGATTTTTTTTTTTTTTGAGTTAGGTGATGCCTACACAAATTAGATATTATATTTGTATTATAATGCTTGAACAGAATCAGTTAAAACACTTAGTTGGTGGTTAATTGGAAAGATGTTTAATCTCATCCTTGAACAAGAAATCATATACATTGTTGAGTAATTAATTATTATGTAGTCAAATATTCTTGATAATCCTATTTAATTTCGTCACTAATTTAAAATAAATTTCTGTTGTGGTTTGTTTTTCTTTTGAATGCAATAATTCATGATGCTGATGATTATAGAAGTGAAAAACAGAAACTAAAT